AACTCCAGTTTCTCGAAGATTGTTGGCATTGGTGATGTGCACATAACAACCAATGTCGGATGCGCACTTGTGTTGAAAGATGTTCGACAAGTTCCGGATCTTAGATTGAATCTTATCTCCGGTACAGCTCTGGATCAGCAAGGATATCTTAACTGATTCAAAGAAGGTACGTGGAAGTTATCTAAAGGTTCCTTGGTTGTTACAAGAGGCCTTATTTGTGGTACTTTTTTATAAAACTCATGCAAAGTTGTGTCATCCAAGTCTCAATGCTGTTGAAGAAGAGATATCACCAAACTTGTGGCACCGAAGGTTAGGCCACTTGAGCGTGAAGGGATTGACAACTCTTGCAAAGAAGGAAGTCATTTCCATGGGCAAAGGTGTTGCCCTAGATCCATGCGAGCACTGTCTATTTAGGAAACAACACAGGGTTTCCTTCAATTCTACTAGGAAGAACCATACAGAGTTACTCAGTCTTGTCCACTCTGATGTATGTGGACCCATTGAAGAGGAGTCAATTGGAGGAAGTAGATACTTTGTGACATTCATTGATGATGCGTCACGAAAGGTATGGGCTTACTGTTTAAAGAGTAAGGATCAAGTGTTTGATCGCTTCAAATTATTTCATGCCATGGTATAAAGAGAAACAAGGAAGAAGCTAAAGTGTCTACGTTCAGACAATGGAGGAGAGTACACTTCTCGGGAGTTCTCAGCATATTGCGCTGCGTATGGAATCAGACATGAGAAGACGGTTCCAGGAACTCCACAACACAATGGTGTAGCCGAAAGAATGAATCGGACCATTATGGAGAAAGTTCGTTGCATGCTGAGTATGGCTAAACTACCTAAGCCATTCTAGGGTGAAGCTGTGCTGACAGCTTGTTATCTTATAAACAGGTCACCTTCTGTTCCTTTAAACTTTGAAGTGCCAGAGAAGAAATGGTCAAGAAGAGATGTTTCTTACTCTCACTTGAAAGTGTTCGGGTGCAAGGCATTTGCACATGTGTCCAAGGAGTTGAGACAGAAGCTTAATCTCAAGTCAAACCCATGCATCTTCATCGGGTATGGTGATGAAGAATTCGGATAGCGGATGTGGGATCCCGAATTGAAGAAAGTTGTACGAAGCAGAGATGTTGTATTTCATGAAAACGAGTTTCATGGGTGTGTTCCAATAATCGCCAACAACATACTCCAGAAGACGAAGTGCATGTATCATCAAACATTCCTCTCAACAACGAGGAGATGCATGATACTATTGAACAAAAGAGTGATGGTTCAGTAGGTGATGATGATGCTCACAGTGATGATATTCCTCAGCAGGGGGAGCCTTCATCTGAAGACGAAGCTGAAGGTATTCATGTTCGACGTTCTATGCGAGGCATAGTTCCACAGAGAAAATTTTCCACATCCGAATGGATACTTGTTGCCGGTGAGGGGGAGCTAGCGAGCATCGCAGGAATGAGAGAAACAAAGAAAAAGGTGGAGGGGGAGATTTGTAGAGATATTCCACCTTCTTTCGTGGAAGTTACCAAGAGGCATCTCACACCTTCTAGGAAGGAGCTTATCCAACAAATGAACATGTGAAAAGATTTCTTGGAGATAGCTAGGAAACTCCATAGCAACAGGCCCGGTCCTGACATTTTATGGGCCCAGGACAATACAATTGTATTGTATTAGGCACAATAATAATTTTGAATTAAAAAAGTTGTGAAAGTTATATCTTAGCTTGTATAAGGAGTGACTATTTCATATTTTAAATCACATTTTCACTAGACAAAAACAAATTCTAAGTTTCTAAATTATGGACACTAAAGTTCAATCTTTCACTAAAGAGAGCATTGGGGGAAATTTGTGAAATACATCAATGAATTCTGGATATACATAAGACATGTACACTAAGTCACTAAAAGATTAAATTTAATGTAATAATTCATAATGATTCAAAAGAAATGGTGAAATATGTTCCCAACGAATTCTAATGTAAATGTTTCTAAATTATAGACTTGTATCGTGTAGATGGTAAATAACAAATTAGAAGTATCTAAAAATATAAGTTTGATTTTATTTTTTATTTTTTATAGATTTAGGATGTATATATAATTAAAATATTTATGTACACACATATATGTTTGAGAAATTTATGGGCTTTACTGGAGCAAAGGGCCCTGGGCGCATGCCCCTCCTGCCCATGCCCCAGGACCGGCCCTGCATAGCAATGTGAATGGAAGCTTGGATGCAACTTTCTCATGTCTCCCATATACACCTATAAATAGGGAGTGTATTGTTGTTCATTTGTATCAGTTTAGAAAGTGAGAAAAGTGTGTGAAGAGTGAAAATACACTTAGAGTAGAAGTGTATTGGTGGGGATTGATTTTTTGTAATAGTTGAGTGTGAGAGTTTGCTCCTCCTATTGTAATTCTGTTCTTGATATTGAATAGAAGAATTTTCAATCCCAACACTTGGAGGCGGCGATAATGCGATGTTATTGACCAGCGATTGTGGTGGAATAGATTTCTCTTTGGTTGTAGCTGACAAGGTACAAAGGAGAAGGAGTGGTGCGGCAAATTTCTCTTTGGCTGCAATGGAGGGGGGCACGACGGAGAAGGAGAGAAGATTTGGGATTTGGGTTCTCTTTCGTATGCACGTGAGGGTGTTTTTGTCTATTTATATTTAATTAGTCTTTTTTTTGTCCAGATTACAAGTTAGTCCTATTTTTGTCTAATGGAAGTTTAGTAGTATTATTTTTGTCATTATTCCAAAAAAAAAAACCCTTCTGTCCTATTAGATTTGTCAAGTTTGACACTTTGACATGCTTTTTGCGAGAATAATCGGAAAAGTACTCGCATAGGAGCCCTCACATGTGTATATATAATGAGAGAGTCCAAATACCATAGGAAACGAATATGTCTAAATATATTTAGGAAATACATATTCTTAAAATATACTTCGTATTCTATTAATTACACCCCCTCAAACTATATGAGAGATATAACACTCATGTTGTCATTTAAAAAATGAAACTGCTGACTAGAAAGACTCTTAGTAAAAATATCAGCCAACCAAAACTGTGTGGGAATATATTTCAATCTAAATATGTTTGTTGCGAGCATGCTGAACAGGATTAACAACCAAGTAAGAGGCAGAGATGTTATCACAAAATAAGTGAACAAGAGTCTTGACAGGAAAACCAAACTCAAATAATATGAAACAAATATGCAAAGTATCATGTATAGTGTATGCATTGGCTCTGTACTCTGCCTGTGTAGAGGACTTGGAAACTATAGGCCAATTCTTGAATTTCCAGGAGACCAGGTTCGGCCCTAAAAAGACAACAAATCCAGTCGTGGAGCGGGTTCGGCCCTAAAGAGACACTTTTACTAGTTGAAGGACCAAAAGTGTCACTTTTACAAAAGCCGAAGGACTAAATACGGAAAATTTCAAAGACGGGTACCAAAAGTGTCTCCCGCACAATAGTCGAGGACTAAAAATGGAAAAATTAAAAGTCGGGTACCAAAAGTGTCACTGACACAATAGTCGGGGGACTAAAAGTGGAAAAAGTTCTTTTTGAATTTAATTAATGTAACTAGTAACTAATCTAGGCCGGTGATCTATCGTGGCTCTTTTCATCAAGCATACTCTTCATCACATGCACCAAATAAAGTGTAGAAAAACAAGACAAAGAAAAGGAACAAAAATTAGCTTTAGAGCTAAGTAAGACCCACTCAACCCCGCAAAATAATATAGTTTGAGAAAATAGTTTTGATACACACTTATAGGTCTGAAAATTCTTTTTGTAAAGTAAATTGTTTTATAGATTAAAGTAATTCTTAATAAGAAAGAGGTCTTCTCAAAAATCCAGATTTAGTGTATATCTTTCAACACCAAACTTGATACTCGTCTACCATAACTCATATCAAACAATTTGGAAACTGAACATCTACCTTAAGTGTGCACACCTTCTAAATAGCGATTCCAAGCCCTTCGAGTAGTAAGCATCTCATATAGCCGGGATAAGTTTCTACCGACTACCCAAGAAAGGACCGATGACTCCTATTAAAGTGGAATAGGGGCAACTACTACCACACAATCCGAAAGCAAACCAAAATCCTACATTTATCCAGTTTTTTATTTTTATTTTTGCATTTTTTTTATGTTTTTTTTCAATTTTTTTTCAATTTTTTTTCAATTTTTTTGATTTATTATTGTTTAAAATATTTTTATTAATTTTTTGGTATTTTTTACAAATTTTTATTATTTTTTATTATTTTATTATGAATTAAAACATTCCAATAGCTATAAGGGTATATTTGTCAAAGACACCCATGATTGGTCCTATGGAAACATAGTGTATTTTTTGATCCTATTTGTGCAAAGTGAGTGACTTTTAGTCCTATTTTGATAATTAACCCAATTTAAAACAATGTAGGATGTTTTTACTTGGACTGTAATCTATTCCAAAATAGAACTGTCATGTTTTTTATTCCCAAACTAGGAGTAATTACTGCCAAGTTTGGAAAATAATGTCATGTTTGAAGTCTGGTACTGCCAAAACATGACAGTAATTAGTACTATTTTGGGAATAAAAACATGACAGTCCTATTTTGGAATTTCCAAACCTTTATAGTCCTATTTCGGATAAATTCTCTTTACAAAATACAACAAAATCAGACCAGACCAGTTCAAACCAAACCAGTAAATTACCGTTCAAGTAAAAACATCCGTAGTCCTAACTCCTACTCCCTATTTATGATTTTTGACTTAGGTAATCCACCCAAATTGTTTTTACATAAATTTAAAAACCCATGAGCCAAAGTTACACGTTCTCAACTGTGAGAAAATTGTTTTTACATAAATTTAAAAACCCATGAGCCAAAGTTACACGTTCTCAACTGTGAGAGAACTTCACCACCTTAACAAGCTCAACGAAAAAGAAATACACGAAAAGGATTGATGATATAAAAAGTACTAAGAGAAAAGAGTAAATGGACAGAAAGTCAAGTGAAGGCAAGAGTAAGAGAAAATATACCCTTTTATGTCATGTACATCTTTGCTTCAATTAAATCATGTATAATGTATACTATTTGGCTGTTTAACATGTACGCAACTTTTTTGTTGCTAGTTTCACTGAATAGTATGTGCAATGTGCTGAATTGCCGATGCAATTATCAAACATATTTTTATTACAAAATATATTGAACATATTATATCATTTGGCTATAACAAAATGAAACATGAAAAACTTGAAGTGGTACCATTTTTAACTATATTCCTTTTATATCTGTTGTTTGGTGTATAGCCTATTGCAGGAGTTAGAATCCGGCAAACTGAGTATATTGTGTGTAAACTTGTTCGGCATCCTGCACAGCAATCGGAGCACGTATAACATAATCCGGCAGATCAAATGCATCTATCAGCTCCTTTGCTATATTTCTGACTTGGAAACACAGATATTCAGTTAACTTGTGAATAGCCTGCAATTTGACAAACACCATCAGGCTCAACCATGGAAAGTGGAAACCAATCATTGAAGACATGTGTATTCTTATTCATCAACATAGCGGAAAACCCCACATGCTTATTCACGAGTCATGGGTTCTTAACGCTGATTCCGTTGTGTGATTCAGAAACAAAATAACCAAAATCAAGATGATAATCAAAACCAGTTTTTAGGATCTGGATGTGACATGTTTCTGAAACTAATCAATTTTAGGACCTCAGAATCACTCCTAGAGGTTTTGCCAAAATACTAAAAATTGATTCTTCAAATTTCTCAAACTGATACAAACGCCACCTTAATGATTTTACACATAGTGATCCCAGTTGATAGAAACTAGAACTAGTATATGAATATAGTCCACATGTCAAAGATTAAGAAAAATGTTTAGTTCTAATACCTTAGCTTTGTTAGGAGCCACATAGTCCACATTGCGGTAAGTTCCTATGTCATTCCAGATTCGGTCCAAAGCATAGAGGTCACAAACAAGCTTCAGAGCAGAACGCGAGGTAGCATCGGGACAACTGCATTGGAAGCAACAATATGACCTGTCAATGCCTTCACTAGAACTAAATTACCCTCCAATCCAAGCAATAAGTGTAGCATTCATTGGATATATCAAAAAACTCTTTTGAGTTGTGGTTCCATTCGGAAAAGTCAATTTGTAAGACTAAGCCCAAAGTATTATATGTAAAGTTGCACCACTTTACCAGGTCGATGTGGGGGGGATCATAAAAACAATACAGCAACAACAATGACAATATCCAACCCTTAATCCTAAAACAGTTTGGGGGATCATAAAAGCAATAAATGGATAACAAAAAGTAAGAAATGTATACGATTTGACGGCTGCAATGAACATTTCGAGGATGAAGGACTCAATGTGGGACTCTGCAAGTGTCAGGAGATGATTCAAGCATCTGTTCCAAGCACCAAAGCCACCAAGTGTCTTCGAGTGCTTTTGAAGTCGAACAGCAACACTTTGAAGTAGCCGAGATGTACGATACTGCAAAAATAAGTATAAAATAAGACAAACATATTGTATCCACAACACGTTGTCTATTCAGTAGTTCAACAAAGTGGTCATTTTTACTCACCCTAAATGCATCTAACTGGAAGTTTGGATCTCGCAAATGGTCTTCACCCTCCCACCTAGAAGTCACTGGATTAGGCTGAGATAGATACGAATTCATTGATTGTCTTAGGTAGTTCCAAGTGACCGAGAGGGTCCCACCTTGGAACTTTTCTTGATACTCCTTCAAAAGAAGCCCTGCCACCTAGGTAATCAGACAATTCAATTCAAACAGCAAAAAGTCATTCATTTATGATAGAAGAATCAGTTACAACAAGAGTTTTTATTTTTCAGATGTGAGTAACTTTGATTTCAAAAGATTGCTCAAACAACGTAAAAAGAGAGATAAAGCAATTTTTGCTGTTGCATTGATAGTTTGATACAAAAAAAGTTCAGTTGACATGATTTGGCTGTGCCTGCCTACAAACTTACGAATTTAGGCAGTTTCTTCACCTTATTTTTTCCCTGTTACTTATTCTTATTTAATCAAAACAGATCACATCAGAACAGACCAGAAAGATTTAGACATAGTAAGAAGATAAGACAAGATATAAAACATTGAAATGAGAGTATACCCCACAAGAAAGACTCTGACCAGAACAAACAAAAAGACAGACCAGATCAGACCAAAGCTTAAAATTCAGATCAGGTCACATTTTTTGGCAAACACCTACTAAATACTACGTATATGGACAATTTCCTATTCACCTGCTTTTTGGGCATGTGGTCATTATGTTGTAGTGCTGCCTAACCAGTATTATGGCATTAATTATTAGCTTCTTTTATCAGTTATACCTGCTGTAGAAGAACAGTGTTGTCTCCTTCAAATGTTTGAAATATGTCATGATCATTCCTCAAAGTACCAAATCGATTAACAGCTGCATAGCCATGACCTCCACAAGATTCTCTGCAAGTATTCAATGATTTCGCAGTGTAAGCAGTGATATATGATTTAAGCCCAGCTGAGAGGGCATGGACATCTCCCACCAACTCTTCATCATGAGACAGCTTCTTCATATCAGAATACTTCTCCACCAGATGCAACGTTGCAAAATGGAAGGCATAAGTCGAAGCCAGCATTGGCATAAGTTTTTGTTGGTGAGATTGATAATCAAGAATACTAATCTCAGGCTGTTTGGGTGGACCAAATTGTTGCCGCAAAAGAGAATAGCGGGTGGCAATAGTTACAGCAAGTTTAAGAACGCTGACTGAAGAATATGCAAGCCCCACTCTTCCACCTACAAGTTCTCCCAGTGTTGCAGCAAACCTTTTGTTAATCGATGGAAGGCTGCTTGTGTATTTTCCGTCCCTTGAGACATCTCCAAACCGGTTTAGGAGATTATCCCTAGGGATTCTCACAGACCTGAATCTCAATGCACCATTGTCAACTCCATTCAAACCAATTTTGTGGCCACAATCATGTATTTCTACCCCTGGTAAAGTTTCGTGCGTCTTTAGATCCCGTATTTGAACAATGAAAGCATGAACACCCATGTCAGAAACACCCTCTGAATCCTGAGTTGGCAGCAACAATCTTGCAAAAACTGTAGCGAATTTACCATGGACAGCAGCATTTCCAATCCACCATTTAATGGCACCATCATTAGGTGTGTCCACAATGAATTCATCCTTAAGCGGATCAAAGGTAGCAATTGTTTGAAGGCCTTGAACATTGGAACCTTTCCGTGAACACATTTCAGTATGTTAGGCTAGGGATAACATAAAAGATTATATTTGGGGACAAAACAAAGGTTTTCCAAAGATGAGATTTCACCTCATGCATAAGCTTTAAGAACTATTTCAGAAATATGAACATCAAAGGAAAAAACTTGTAACAGTGATAGAGAAAATAAAATAGTAACTTCAGAACCCAAAATGGCCACTACCTATATTACTTGCACGCCTGCAAACTCTAAAAAGTATATAACGGTGATTTTAGAACAGCAGACTTTGTTATATGACACAGGGAATCCATAGAAGACACCATATGACAGAGTCTGATGGAGAGCCGTTTTAGTGAGTCAAACACAGAATTACTCACTTGTTTAGCATGTCTTGATCCTAGAGATAAGTTCTCTAATTACCGTGAGTCAAAGCTACTGAACCTCGCGGAATTATATTCATGCGATTTTTCATCCGTTGATCGAATGGAGCTGAAAGAGCAACTCCAGGTGTGCATATGTGAAATGAGAACATATGAATTATTTTCTGCCGTACAGACTATTGGTGAAGTTTGCAAAAAGATGGTTGAGCTTAAAGTTCACAATTCTTTTCACTTGGTATATCGTCTGATTGAGTTGGCTTTAGTAGTTGCAACAGCCACCGTTGAAAGAGCCTTCTCTGCGATGAATATTATCAAGACAGATCTTCACAATAAGATGAGAGATGATTATCTTACAGATTGCTTGGTGTGCTACATCGAGAGAGATGTTTTTAGGAGTATCGATAATGAAACTATTATGCAACATTTTCAGAATATGAAAACTCGTAGGCTTGATTTACCAAAATTGCATAAATGAACTACTTAATACTACCTCCGTCCCGTTGGAATGTTCCCGTTCGGTTTACGATGCTTGACTGACAATAAAGCAACTTGATCCCTGTTCACACTCCGCTTATTTTTAGTAAATAAAATTTACATATTCAGAAACTACATTAAAACCGCTACAAAGCCTGATCAAGAAAAGTTCAATTTGATAAAAATTTGATATATAATGTAAAAGATTAGGAGTGACCTAAGTTGACCAATGAATAGTGAACGGGAACATTCCAACGGGACGGAGGGAGTATGTAATTAACTACTTCTTATAATTTATGCTATTGCCTTACTTTTTACCATCTTTATTACATTTGAAATTTTTATTATAGAGTAAGTTTAGTGTCTAGTGTGCCTCTGCTTTGACAAATCTCTGGGTCCGCCATTGTCTATATACTTACTGATACAGAAAACTTACATTTTATCTGAAAAATTCACAATTGAACAAGAAAGGTATATGTAATAATTGGTCATGATATTCAGTTGATAGATGTTTACCTTTGTTCCAGGAAAAAAATGATATGGATGAATATACTAATCAAAGCTATAAATCGTGTCACCAATCAGTGAAAGGAGAAACTAATCAATCCTCCCAATATAGATTACAAACACTTTTCTAAAAAAAGAAAGAATCACGAAGCATCCCGAGTCGTATTGACAAATCTGCCCTTATCATATTCCCGCCTCCCATCGTTGACCGGCCGGAGGATTGCCAAAATCCAACTTCAGGGGAGTCACCAGAACGACTAAGATGCATTGAATTTATATATGTGTGGGATATGTTTCTTATTGACATGATACCACAGGTAGTACATGATATTTTTTTTACAATGATTTACTTGTGTTCTTTTCGTAAGAGAAAAAATGTGTCTAGTTCATTACTTCTTCATTTTTACAGAAATCAACAAAAAGGCAATTATCTTAACGTTTTCTGACATTGATAACTAGGCAATAAGACAATATACCATGATGAAGCTCAGTCATTGCAAAGCAACCCATGTATTCCAGACTGTCTATGCCTTCAAAGTATTTGTCTCTGTGTTTCTTAGTTCCCAAATTGAGAACAGAGCCACCCCAAAGACTGCATCAAAATTAAGAATTTTAGGAATTTTTAGCTACGAAATATAAAGATGAAATCTCAACACAACTTCAAGTTAATGATAATTTATCACATTCCATGTGTACGTGTGAGTTCTAAGTGTATGAAAACCTGATCCTACTCATATCAAAACACAAACACAGTATAATCCCTTTCTACCACTTGCCAAGTCTTTAGTCATCATTCATCTTCACATTTATAACCCCGTACTTCACCCATCACCATTGATGTGAAATCAATAAACATTATCATATTGTTTAGACATTAATACACTTAGCCTAATGCAGACTAAAGGAATGCAACCAAATAATCAAAATTACGACTATCAATGAACTAATGATAAAGAAACAAGACTTAGAAAACATTTTTTGGTGCATTCGTTAAGAGGGAGCATAAATCACCTGTACTGAACACCCAACTTGATACCGAGAGACATATCAATGCTACCTATAGCTTCCGAAATAGCAAAATACTTAGCAGGGTTCTCCAAGATGTACTTGAATGGCCTTATCCCCGCCTCACGGACCAGACCTGTGAGCTGCCTCATGCACAATTCCCTGTGCTCATCCTTCGAGATCTCGATCGGCGTCTGCAAGTCCGGTCTTGAATTGAAGTACTCGAAAACTTTCTCTTGGACGTCTCTGTGCTTCCCCTTCATGTACGCCGACAGGAGCTCCGTCCTAACATTCAGCACCTTCACCTTCCCAGCGCACAAGAGCATCTCGAGGCCGCAATCGGGAATCTCCGGGACCAGTTCCGGGCTGAGGTGCAATGACAGCTGTTGCATACGGCGGTTGACAAACTGCATGACGCGCCGGTTCTCATTTTCCTCCGACGTGTGATCGGAAGGTCGTGACGTCACGCTCGGGAGGTCCATAAAATAGTCAATAATTGCACTTCACGAAAGACCTCCAAAATTTTGAAGTATTTTATACGCTCGTATCGTTAACCGAATGAAATGGATTGTTCCCATCCAAAGGGAAGGGGTTGGGTTAGCTTATACGGGAGAAGGTGTGGTGACGTTGCGAGATAGCTACGGTGCACGTGGGTGGCAGCCATTGGATGCCGTTTTTGTTACGCGTTAGCGTTGGCGCGCTTTTCAACCACAAATCAACAATTTAGGAGCGGACATAAAAACCCAATCGAAACCGTATTTAAGCAGTTTTGTAGATTTTTATCCCGAATCGAAACCGTACCGTTTGAAACGGGTACGAGATCGGTCCTTGATTTTGAGAACCGGAAAATATCGGATTAAACCGTTCAAAAATAATGCATTTGAAATTTGTACGGACTACATAGTATATTTTTCATATGAATAAATCTCTTTTATAGACCAACAAATTTATAGCTCGAGTATGTATTCATGCAATAATGCGTCCCTAAAATAGCTAAATGTGTGTATGTATAAATATTACTACCTCCGTCCCAGGCAGTGGTGGACCCAGAAAATCGGGATCACGGGGTCCCTACTCTAATGTAACTCTAATTAATTAGAGCGCGTTAGGCGATTTTTTTCCGGCTTATTAGGTTTATCAGCTAATTTATTAACCAAACACGTAACTTTTGATTTCGTGCGTTGAATTGTGTAATAATAAGAAAACGTCAGTTTAGAGTTACTTTTATGGCTGTATTGACTGAAGGTACTGTATAAAATTATTTAAACTATCTTTCATACTTTAGCCAATCCAATCGCTTCATAGTATATTTCAGTTGTATTGGTTGTATTGGCGGTACTATAATTTTTTCTTTACTTTATTAATAAAATATATTTTAAATATTTTTTTCATAAATAAGTAGAATCAACCAATTCAGTCACTTTAGCCGTAACTTCATAAATTTCAGTAGAATCAGTCAATATAACCTATTCGAGTATTACCAAACAGGCTCTAAAGTAGCATAATGTTTCATAATTAACGTACATTATGAAAATATTAAGATAGTCATAACACACAAAATAAAATTACATATGAAGTATATATTTCGCTCTACAATTCTACAAATGTACCTTCTTAGATTTCAACATGTTGGTCTTGTAGACAATTAGTCATATGAATTTCACATTTAACAATTATTTGATCCATTTTTTCATTTAATAATGACGAATCATTTGAATTAACGTTTGATTTACTCCCGGTGCTCCAAATTTCTTTAAATCCGGATACAATATCGAAATATGTTTTCATCCTAAATCGCAAAGTTATTCATAAATATCATACATTTAATAATTAATTTTAACAGTCAAACCAATTTTAATAATTAATCCAAAATTTTTAATTATGTAAATTGTAAACTTCAAAATAATGATATTTCACAAAAATACATTTAAAAAACAAAAACGGGGAACTTGGGAATTGAACCTTGAACCTCCGGGTAAGGCAAGCCCTCAGTTCCGCAATGCTACCATCCGTCCGCTTCGATCTTTCGTTTTCATACTCGCTTTTTGTGTATTTATACATTCCTTAGTAAATTTTTTATAAAATATATATAATATATATAGTAATTTTTTTGAACGTACACGGGGTCCCGGGACCCCATGGGACCCTTAGTGGGTCCGCCACTGGTCCCAGGGAGAAGTTCCCAATTTCCTTTTTTGGCAGTCCCAACAAAAAGTTCTCATTTCCTTAAATGGAAAGTTATCCTACATAAAAACAGTGCCAAACAGTGCAAAACAGTGCCAAACAGTGTCGAAACAGTGCCAAACAGTGTCGAAACAGTGCCAAATAGTAAAATTTACCCCTCAGTAACTTTATTTCCTTAATATGTGTGAAAGTCAACCCGGGAACTTTTCCCTGGGACGGAGGGAGTATTATATTTTCCTTTCAAATATTTTGTGTAAATATTTTGGTATATATATTACGGAGTATAAAAGAATGTTAATGCCTTAAAAATCATTAATGACTATTAATTTCTAGTAGTATATTGTATATGACTTTTTGTTGTATCATATTTGTGCAGTTTTACAAGTTAATTAATACTACGCATGTAGTATGATTTAAATCTTAGTTCTCACGATTTAATGCAATTATAAATTAAATTAGAACGAATATTAAAATTAACCCAGACCAAAGAAGAAGAAAGTTGAATTTTTCTAATATATTCAACAACTTTATGACGTTTTTTTATGAATTTTTCTAATATATTCAACAACTTTATGACGTTTTTTATACTTTCTTGTTCATTTCTTATTGCAATGTTGCATCTATATATTGCATGAACCCTTGATTTTTGCAGATTATTTATTAGGTTTTCTTTTTCTCAAATTGCTATTGTTTATAGGAGTTGAGGCAGAGAATGCCTATAATGTTCTGGGAATGAGCAGGATGTTGGAGGGTGAGAGCGCTCAAATGTTTCCAGAATTTTGAGGTCATCCTTAAGATCGATCACCCCCATTCAAAAAGTCATTCACCTCACTCAACTGTTTACGATTAGTATGTACATACATTGCAGCAATGTGCATTGCTGCATCTCCTTTAAATCCAACACAATATTGTCTTCAAAGATCAATAACAGAAAGTGTTGCTGCATTTTTTTTGTATAGAACATGGCACCAGTTCTAAAAGTTCTGTCCGATGTCACAATTGATTTGGATAGGCGTGCTGCGTTTCTACTTTGTGTAGTAAAAAAGTGGAGGTAATCTGCATCTGTAATTGTTCAACCTTTTTTTTTGTTAAACTGCTTTCTAAATCTGTTTATTTTGTTCACAATGCTTTTTTAACATTTTTTGAAAATTGTTGAATGCTAATCGAATATGAAAATATCTCTAAGATAGATTTCTAATCCTATCTGATGGGGTTATGGGACTAGGCCCAATGCCTAATCGGCTCAGGCCCCGAACTTGGATCAACATGCCCAACTAGCGGACGCAGCAATCCGGATCTCAAGCCGGCCCAATTGATCAAGCCCATCAAGGAGCGGAGGTCCAACTGAGTGGAGGCCTAAGATGGCCTGCCTCCAGCCCAGCAGGGAGCCTGCCTCTAGCCCAACAGGGAGCTCGCCTCTGGCCCAACAGGGGGCCTACCTTCCAAGCCTGCCGTCCAAGGGGCTCAAGCGTCCGGCTAGCCAGCCATGCCGACCCGCCAGCCAGCCAGGAAGAGTAACGGCCAACAATGAATGCGATATTAATTATGTATTTAATTATGTATTTTATTCCGTATTAATGATGTAATTTATTTAGCCATTATTATTCGGCGGTTACCATTTGTAAACAGCCTATAAAATGCAAGTCGTGATTCAAATACAGACACACTATTCTTGGCAACTAAATCTCCCAAGCACTTTCCATATTCGTTCTTACTTTCTTGATTTCTGCTTAAGTGTTCTTACGCAGCTTTCCGAAAAGCCTACGAGCGTCCTATTTTGGACCAACACTATCGTATAAGAAGAGGTCTCTGTTTTGTTTCAGAAAACAAAACATGTTGATTCCATTTGCCTTAGATGTTGATATCTTTTGATTTTTCATTCCATGTTTGCTTGGTAATTGGAAAATTTCTCAAAGTTGAGTTTTTGAAGTATTAATAGAGTTCCAACAGTTTTTTTTACAAAATGGTATAACAATGTCCTAATTTTTGTTGTTGTAGTTAGTACGGAGTATTTACTACCCCTTTACACTGAAGTAGTAGTACAACAAGTCAAAATGTATTCCTATTGATGACTGATCTGTCTTGGCCTCCTCTCGGTTCTTTGTATTCCTGAACTCATGATTTAGTGATTTCAATTGTTTCCTTCCAACATTATGATGGCGTGTGTGAACCATTTTCTGATTTCAAGTAAATTTGTGAACACCACTTATTTACTCACAATTTCTGGTAAACAATTGCTTGGTTTGTGTCATTACTTTGTATAAAAAGATTTATTTTTTATCTCAAATGTGCAGCAACTTCCTATTCCCGTTAGAGATGCAGTGTCCAGTGGATTGAAAATTCCACTTGGTGAGAATTCTCTCATCTGTATACACCTTCAATTCATATTGGTAGAAGCATTGAAAATAGGTTTTATAGCAGAATCCCTTAAAATTATGTTCTTACAATTATACACTGAAAAATTATAGCCTATTATATAACTTAGGCTTCTTCTTCCCTCATTTTCAATTTAAATACAATTAAACTTTATATTTTTACAACCGAGTGACCGACTGATCGAGAATTTAAAATATATTTAAGGTAAAATATGCCCAGTATCTAAGTCAAATATTTGATTAAGAATACAAAATCAATGTGTTAGATAAGAAGTGATAGACACGAGCAGCTGCCAGCTCATTACTTTGACAGAGTATACACAAGAAGAAATAAGAAGTTGGGTAGTTAATAGTCTGTTAAGTCAGTTCTATTATCCCTGCGTGGATAAATGACTATAAATAGAAGGAGTTAGCTATTTTTAGACAGGCTGTTAGACTTGTTGACTGGCTTGTAGGAGATTGGGCATCTCGAACTGTCCCACCCATTTCTTTGTACTCGTTTCTTGTTCTCAGATCAATAAACCCTAATTCTCTCAATTCTTACTACTTGAGATTGATATACTGGTTGAAATTGTTCTGATTTATCCAGTGTTCTATCATTGGTATCAGAGCGTCGATTCTGGTGATCTGTTTTGTCGCTGAAAGTACCGGAAATTTTTTTCCATTCGGTGAATGGTTCGTACAAGGGCAAAGATGGAGCAACGAATGGAAACCTTGGAGATGGGTAAACTAGCAACGGATGAGGCGCTGATAAGAATGGAAGACAGATTGGAGAATCTGATGGTAGCGATGAATAGACAGTTCGAAACGATGAATGAAAGGATGACGGACATGCAGAACCAGAATCGCGATGGAAGGAGATCGCGATCACCACATCGTCATCGATCGAGAACATCGAATAGTCCGAACACTTCCAGAGGTAATTCTATTCATTCGCATACTAATAATCACAGAAGGAGAGATGAAAACCCTAGATTTCCTATACAGCCTGGTAGAAAGATTGATTTACCCCTGTTTAATGGAGTCGGTGCTTACAATTGGGTTATACGGATGGAGAGGTATTTCCGATTGAA